AGGCATTCTCAAGGGACCTCCTTGCAGCAGGGACAGCGCGTGGCAGACAGCAAGGAGGGCAGCCCCAGGTCAGAACTTCCACCTTTGCCGCCAGAGACGGGCAGGGAAGAGATGGCCGGGGAGGCCCCGTTGCAGGCATCCCCTTTCGCTCCTGCTGCTCTGCCCGGACTGGAGGAGGGTAGGAAAGGTGAGGGGGGACCGGCAGTTGCAGGGGGGGCTCCCCACAGTCCCCTGGAAGAGCCGGGGCTCTGGGCATTGGAAAGGGAGAACGAGGGGACCAGGGACGGAGGGAACACAGAAGCCGGGGGAGGCCCTGGAGAGGCCCTGGAGCAGACGGCTGAAGTGGAGCACACCGTGACCAAGGAAGGAGAGGAACAAGGCCAGGAGGAAGGTGGCTGGAAGAAACTTTCAGAAGACGTCCTGGAAGATGCCCCAGCAGAAGCCCCCAAAGCCCATCTGAACGGGAGCCCGGAGGCTTTGGGCCAGATGTGGCCGGACAGCCCAGAGGTTTGGGGCTTAGGCTCGCCTCGGGACGCCAGTCCTGTCTTGGAAAGACCACCGGCTTCCCAGGATGGCCCCCCAAGCCAAAGTCTGCCAGACCGCGGAGAAGAAACCCGAAAGGAGCCCTTGGAAGAGCACGGTTTGTCCCAGAGACCCACCGAGCCAGAGGCTGCCCCCTCGGATGCTCCCCACGCCTCCAGCCTGCCAGTGGCCCAGGATTCTGCCCTGCCTGCCCCAGGTCCCCCTAGGAGTGCTGGGCCCTGCCAGGAAGCCCCGGTGCTGAGCCCCGTGTCCCGCGTCCTAGCACCAGATTTGGGACCGGAAGGGAAAGACCAGGTATAGACAGCCATGGTCCGTTCTTTTCCTTTCCTTTGCGTTCTTCGTCTGCTTCTCTTGACCCCTGTGAGCGCTCGACTGATTCGGGTTCTGCCTGGCACGTGGGCAGTGTTGGGAGGCCTTTGCTGGCACAAGGAGGGGAGGGTGGTCTGAGAATGGGCAGAGGCCCCAAGGGGTATTTCTTTGATGGGTTTGTATTAAAATGATCTGAGGCTAGTGGTGCCTGGCAGCATAGAGGAGTGTTTCTCAAGCTCGGCAACTTTAAGATGTGTGGACTTCAACTCCCAGGATTCCCCAGCCAGCCAGCTGGGGAATCCTGGGAGTTGAAGTCCACACATCTTAAAGTTGCCGAGCTTGAGAAACACTGGCTTCGAGCCTTCAGGCATGGAAGATTTAGGTCTAGTGTTGTGGGCAAGGGGAGCATTATGGGTTGTTTGAAAAGTCCAGCTGAGTGGGGCAAAATACAGCTTAAGGGGGGGTGCATTTAAAGGGGCGCAGCTGAGGCGGTCTTCATTTGGCACTGAATCCACTGAGGACCTGGTGAAACCAGAAATGCAAAGAGGATTCTTTGCTAAGGTGTTGGCAAAGTGATGCCCTGCGGATTTGGCATTCCTTCCACATCTGGACACAGCTGTTGCTGGCAGAACATGCGTTCGTTCTGTAACACAGTGGTGCTATGGAGAAAAATGTCTTTTCTCGTTGCCCAATTGACCACTCCTGATCTGTCCGGTTGCACGGCAACGGTTCACGTGGGGTCTGCCTTGCGTGAGTTTTTCCCTGCCTGTGGGAGACCAGGGTGCTCCCTGGGGTGGGGGGGCAACTTGAGGCCCAGCTGCATATAACCCCCACCCTCAAGCCTTACACCCTGTCTCAAAGTGGCTGCCAAACTGGAATTGACAGTGTCACAGATGATTGGAACAATCCTACTAACCAGGCTTGATTTAATTTAAATCCTTGAAGTCACCCTTACATACCTCCAAGCACGGTCCTGGAATTTCCAGAACCCCCCAGATGTGCCCCTGGCTCTGGAATACAGAGGTGGCCCCTTGATCCGGAAAATGCCGCCACGCTGAAGGCTCGGCAGGGTTGGATATTTGCCCCCCGAGCTCACAACCTCTTAATCTGACTTCTCCCCTTTTCAGGCGGAGTCCCTCGGCAGCCCCACGCTGGTGAATTCCAGCCACTGCTTGCTCCAGTGGTGCCAGGAGGTGACGGCTGGCTATCGTGGGGTCCGTGTGACCAACTTCACGACGTCTTGGCGCAATGGTCTAGCTTTCTGTGCCATTCTGCACCGCTTCCATCCAGAAAAGATGTGAGTTGAGGCCAGAAATACACTCTAGCACAGTGTTTCTCAACCTTGGCAGCTTGAAGATGTGTGGACTTCAACTCCCAGGATTCCCCA